TTTTTTTTTCATTTTTCTGAATTTGGGAAGTAACATTTACAGTCTTTCTAAACAACATAAAATACACAAATTAAAATCCAAATTTAACAACTAGGCCATATGAACAATTTATGTGCTTCTCGTATCCTTCTCATTTGTATATGTTTCCCATTCCTTATCAGTCACTCAATTGTAAGGCAAAAAGCAAGAACACATCAATATAAATGACATCAAGAAAGCTACATAAATACATGAAACACAAAGAGAACATCTAAACAACAAAACTATTTTTTTATTTCTCAAGTCTCTTCCATATTTTGACATACACTGTACACAGAAATCCAAAAATTAAAAAACCCAAAAAGGAAACAGTTCTTATTTTACTTTTGTTCAACATTCAGACTGACACCATGAGAGGTACACACAACCTAAAATTCTAACAGTGCAAACAAAATTCCACCTTTCATAAATAGAAGGATCTCAACCTAAAGGCAACACACAACCAATTTGTCTTATTTCCAGAACTGGAAATGCAATACTAATTAAACAGTGAATTATTTTGTAAGTCATACATTCAAATGTGAATCTATTTACATTCAAACACTCACCAACAAGCAAGTTAACAAATAATATTTTTTTGTCAGCAACATTTTATGAATTTAATTGAATATAAGTGCATGTTAATTGAAACCCTGTTTATGAACCAAGTAAATTTACTTACTAATACTAAAAGCTAAAGTTTGTTACTGATAAACATTGTACAGATAACTATGGGGATAAAAGTCATAAATTTGTTTTTCATTGAGAAAACAAGGAAAACAAAATTCTGACTTTCATATATACCACCAGCATCACATATGTTTTCTCCCTTATGACTTCTCCTCTCCCTTATCACTTCTCCAACAAAACCTTTGTAACCAACCTATGGAACTGATGAAAATAAACTTGATTCAGTTGGAAAGAGTTCAAGTGCAACATTTGTGATGCTTTCGGGTTTGTGCACCGGACCATTTTTATTTACTTTCCTTGAGCGTGCCTGAATATAAACCACAAATACAAATTAATTTATCAAAAAGAAATTTATAAAATGATCATACAATTAAAATATACCTTTGCTTTCTTTGAGCTCACTTCCAATGGGCCCTTTTTCCGATTTGTTCTAGGCGCGCCTTTTCTCTTGGATATTTTTGGATCTTTTATATTCCCATTTTCCATATTCGGACGTGAAGTATACTGTGAACTATTAATATCACTGGAATCATAGTTCGTCAAAATAAGTTCATTCTTTTTATTTTCTATCCAACCCTGAATTGAAATATATTTTTCTTCATCATCCGCTGCTAGGTCTGCCACCTCTATGAATGATCGACACATGTTTTCGTACCTTTTCTGTGCTGGAGTAATACCCATACCATCATAGCTAATAGCTATCCTCGAGTGTGCTCGATTAACATCTTTTCTCCAGCGTCGAAGTATATAGCGATCAGGCACCACCGTAACATCATTACGTATCATAACTGTGATGGCATGTCTGCATAATATTCCTCGAAACTCAAATAAGAGACAACTACATGATACTTCGCTTTTCTCTACATCAAACCATACCAGAAATATTTTTTTCTTCCTTTTACCGCCGCACAATACGTCTTCACATACCTCATACCTCGTCCCCGTATTCACGTCTACTGCAGATATGAGATCACACTAAACTTTTCCCGTAAACTCAGTTTGAACTTCTCTAAACTTTGAAATTGTGTATAACGACTGATATTGCTTTTCCATTTCATATGTCGTCGCACACGGTATGATTTGAGAGAATGACTTGTGATCAGCTTGAATTTCTTTTTCGACCTTATTTCGCAGCGCTCGTTCATATTGTTCAACAAATTGCTTCAATGATGTCTTTGAATGTACATAACCATCAAAGAAGGCATTCATACTCTCACTTCTCTGAGTCGTCGACATGCCTGCCCAAAAGTTGGATTTCAAGTAACAAGGCACCCAACGAACGCGATTATCAAACAATCCTGTTAACCAAATGTTTTCATGTAACTGATATCCCTCAATCATTACTCTCAACCCTTCTCAAATTCTTCCACTGACTGTGAATCGTAAACTAGTGCATGAATGATTGAAAATATTGCGGCTTTCTCAGCATGAAATCCAAACTTTTCGGGTAGCTTCTTCAAGATATGCCACAAACACCATCTGTGTTTTGTGTTTGGAAAAACTATTTGTATTGCATTTTGCATTGCTTTATCTTGATCGGTAATTATTCCCTCTGGTGCTTGACCCTGCATGCACTTAAGCCATGTTTGGAATAGCCACACAAATGTGCTAGTGTCCTCATTCGATACCAAACCACAACCCAACAATACTGACTGCCCGTGATGATTAACACCAACAAAAGGGGCGAATGGCATGTCGTATTTATTAGTAAGATAGGTAGTGTCAAATGTGACGACATCCCCAAACTCTTTATATGCTTTCCTAGACCGGTTATCTGCCCAAAACACATTTTTCAACCGAGAATCTTCATCCAAGTCAATGCTAAAGTAAAAATCTGAGCATCGAGCTTGTACATCCGAAAAGTAAGATTGTATTGCAGTTGCATCACCTTCGCCAAGTCTTAGGCATCTTGCTTGTTCAACATAGTTACGACAATCCTTTTCCATAAAAGTAATGTTCTCGTAGCCGCCAGCTTCAACAACTACAGAATTAAAACTTTTATGTAATGGTATGCCAGCTACATCATTCACTTCAAGTTTCCGTTTGATATTGGAGCTCAACTTGCGATGGCATCGATATAACCTCGACTTAGTGGGACTAGTCTTGTGATTATGCTCGAGCTGGACATTATTAATTTTCCAGTAACCATGTATATCTAAAGACGTGGATATTCTAGCTTTACACCCCGTGTTACTTATTGGTTGTGGCTTCATACAAGTTCCTGTAGAACTATGTTTTCGTCCCTCATGACTACACGTGAACGTGACGTACCTCAGAATGCCATCATCATCCTTACTCGAACTTCTTCTTCTCACAGGAAAACCCGCGGCATACGCGTATCTCACATAAAAGTCATAAATTTGTTTTTCATCGGAAAACTGCATACCAACTTTCGGAACGATTAAGGAATCATCAATTGTATCATCAAGATCATTTGCAATCTCATTTTCCATGCTCTCGCCTCCTGTAACATGCAAAAAGAATCACAATTATATTTTAGAAAATTATAATAGAATTTTGGGAAATTAGAAACTTGACACTCAAAATATAAAGACAAGCTTATTACCAGTACGCACGAAGTTTTCATCTTCCATTGCTGGAGGAGGAAAATTAAAATAAAGGATCAGTTCAGTTGTTATACAAATGATTATCGGAGAAGGATTAATAAAACAAAGGATATGTTATACAAATGATCAAATATATAACATGATATAGTTTTTCACGACCGGGAGAAGAGGAGTTAGTGGAATCATTTAGCCACCACCGGGAAGAAGAGGAGTTAGTGGAGGATTTAGTTTTAAATCTCAGCCCTTAATTTCTATTTATTCTTAACCGTACAACTCACTTTGTCAAAATAATTTGTAAAGAGACTTGGTTAAAGTAGCATTATTCTTTCAAAAATACTTGCAAGTTAATAGTGTAGGTCGAGTTTTGGAAAACACAACAGGTAGATTTTTTTTTTTTTTTT